GAAATCCAAATTTTTCGTATTCGAATCTCTACTGAAAGTTCAAAGAATCTAGTTAAATATGTTCTTTCTGCCTCATTTTAAAAGTGAGGATAATCTTTCTTGCATTGTATAATGGCTCTGTTTTACTCTCCGATTGAGATTTTATCCCACTCATTTTAACTTAACAAATTCTTTAAATAGCGGGTAAAAGCTGTAAACAAACTCGTTCAAGTCAATGTCTTCTAAGACAGAATAAAAACACACCGGGGCAACTTCGTTACGACACATCCTATTGGACAACTGTCACTAGCTTGACGAAACCAAGGCTCTCTCTAGGTCGATCGGTGAGACAGACACATTCTGGTTCCAGGACCATCCGATGGGTAGATCAGTTGAGGACACGGCGATCCAGTGTAACTTGTGCACATGTCCGGTTTTAGTTGACCCGAATTCAAACATTAAAGTCCACATCTTCACATGGCAATGATCTTGTCATGTCTGTCTGAAACCAACGGGACAGAGTGAACGATCGAGTGAGATATTTCCATCAGACAGCGCTTTGTGGGAGTGCATCCGTCAGCTCGCATTGACCGGAAAACCTCACCTTAGTTAGCAGGTTACACACGAGCTGTAGCTAGTGTCAGCATAACAGAACGGAAGAGTGAATGAATTACCGGTGTTCATCAAGGTTCGTGTAAGTGTATCGCTATCGTGGGCGTTTTCGTTAAAGTACTGCAAGCCTAAAAAGGGGATAGCGTGGTCTGTGTACAGGTCTGACCTTCACTGGCACAGCCACACAAGTTGCGTTGTCTACTTTTGTTCAGCTTTTCCAGTACACGTAAAAAAAATTAATTGAACACAAAAAATGCTTTCGCAAATTGCATCTATTTTATGGAGAACTGAACATGTTCTTTAACTCAGTAGTGATGTTAGAGGAGTATAGTCTGGGGTGTCACTGTTCAGAAGTATTTACTTCGTATGAAAGCTACGAACTAACATTGGTATACTGGTAATCACGATACAAGTACTCGCAAGGAGAAGCTTCTCACTTACATGCAAGAACTTTAAATGCTGTGGATTCAAATTCTTGTCCGCGTTGATTATTTGAAACTTGACTGTTTCTTTATCTTAAGTACATCGAAAAGTACAAATTACTGATAAATAGTAGGGGGTTATAAACTAATCGATTCATATCCTTCTAGTCTCTCCAGGTTTATATTTCTACCAGAATATATCTGTTAGTGATTTTGTGGCTCGTCTGTGTGAAAGACACCATTTGGTGGTTTCTCTGCGACACATGGTCCCACATTTCATGTCTAGGCACACCAACTGAGATGTATCGAATGATGACAGTAACAGAACTAGACTATATGCACCTCGTCTATCTCTGTTGTAAGACCACCATACAGGATGCTAGTTTTGTGGCTAGCACCTTACGTCCTGCAATTGGCGTAAAATTCCCCGATCCGCCAACTGTAGTCAGTAAAGTTTGTAATAAAAGTGAGACTGGTACAATCTCCTATACACCGGTTGCTGAGGAAGTTGCTGTATAATTCTCCATCTTGTGGCAGCAGAAAAAATGAACTAATATCATCTGGGTTGAAAGTTATAGTCATCTCAAACTTTTTCCTTATCCTCTTACTGGGTGACCACAACTAACCAGAACTTAACTTTCCGGCTTTCTCATATACATGTTCCAGGAATTCCATGCCTGAGCGGTCTGTTGATATAACGGAAATACTGAGTTTCACGAAGCTCATCTTTTTTCCTCTCGGTAATGTACAGGCCAAAAGTCGTTGCGGTTAGATTGCATATTTACGAAATAAGAAGTGATGGTCGGTAGCCACGAAATAATCGCACCACTGAGATTCCGTGACCACACAGCCTTTTTTACCTGACCTCCTCTGCAGTAACTGCCATGTCTGCTCAGCAGTTGCCGATCGCAGAAATTTCACAAAATATGTATAGAGAAAACACTGTAGTGAGGGTGAGCGCTCGTAATGTACTACTCACACCACTGCTATTCAGTAGTGGGACCCGAGCATACATTTTGACATACAAGTGACCGCAAGAAAAATTCATGAAAAAATATCAGAGTACACCATCGCCCAAAATGGTCTGTGTTACGTAAAGGAATTGAGCATTGGCGTCTGTGGCAATCGAGACGGGCTGGAGCCGAATATCGCATACAAATGAGTGGTTTTGTTTCCGGACGTGTTTAAATGCTAAACCCGTGTGTTGCTTCCTGTCAGGAAAGAACTCAATTCCCCGAAAATAC